AGGCAAAGACCACTGACAGTGGCGTCGAAATGACGAATTATTTTCAAAGTAACAACTTGAATACAAATTTTTCTCTGTGAATAATAATTTATTGACAAAGGAAAACGTATGAAGGTCTTATTCTCTTTAATCACAGTGTTATTAGGTTGAGAGATCATTAAAAATGAAACATTATGTATGTATGCTTTTTTTCGTCCATAGTATAATAACACATTGACACTGTTAAGAATTTTTTAACCGAATGAATATAAATCGCTAATTTGTTTCTAAAAGTAAGAAAAGAAACCACTTCATTTTCAACAATGATATAATTAACTGCTCTTTTAATATTTTTATCCACTTTTGGAGGGTTCTAAATTCAGGTATACTAATTGTTTTTACAGCTTGGTTTGTAACGTAATAACTTAATGTTTGCCATTGTTACAGGCAGTAAATGTTTAAGCGCTGATGACTGTTTAAATTGTGAAAACTGTGTAAATGATACTCGTGTTTGTGAGTTTGAATACAGTCAACAAATGTGCAAAGATAGTAGGATGATTGAGCCAATTTCTTTTTCTTGAAATCAAAGTAAAATTTTTCCATGTGAGGAATAGAAGGGGTTGTGGACATTAGCCCAACAAAATCTTATACTGCACCAATTGACGAATGTTTTAAAGATTGCTTATCTGCTACGGATTACGATTGTGCTGGAATTTCATTCGGAATTGTTTTAATTTTTCGAAAAGTTTCGAATTGTAATCATTGCAAAGAAATTAAATTGCCATTGGTGAAATTTTCTTCATCTTCATAAATTATTCGGGAAGGTAGGAAGCCATTTTGGTCATTATTGAATTATGTCCATAGTTTACATATCATTGACTTCTCTTTCTAGGTAAAATTCTAGGAGTTTGTGGTTCAAATTGGAATTTATTTCCTCTATTGCAGCATTGTTTTAACTTAATATGGAACCAGAGTGGTTACTTTGCAGAAGAATTTCAGTCTAGCACCAATCACGTATCAATGAATATTTAACAACTTATAGATTATTAAAACAAATTTTCCAAAAAGAAGTTTGAACAGAATATAAAAGAAAGATTCTATAAGTTGGTTTGTTTTGGTCAAGTTAAGACCAAGAATTAAAAGTAGAAAGAGTCACAATTAGTAATTTTTCTGGAATATTTGACAGTCCATATCAACATCCAAAACATGTTATTGATGGACAGTATCACAATGATACTTGGTTCTTGCACAGAATTAAGTTGAGAAGATAAACCAACTTCAATTTCTCTGTCTATTTATTGAAACATTTGTTAATAAAATTATCCTGTGGCCTTCAAATAAAAAAGGTAAAATCAAACATAATAAGTATAGTTTTGTTGATTTGTTTTTTTTTCTAGTTAATTAGTTATTAATTATCTATTTACCGTCAAAAATGAATACTTGCGCCGACGACGTTCAAGTTAAAAATAATTCATTAACAAAAGTTGTCTGCATATTTTTCAAGCAAATTTCAACTACCATCATAAATTTTGAGCAAAAATTGAATAATGTTCTACAATTATGCGAAATAGAAGTGTTTTCTTGTAAAAAAAATAATACAAATATTTCTAATTATTAAATCTATTTCTAAAGTTTTCTTTATTTCGTCTCTCATTGATAATATTGCAGGAGGAAAACCAGTTTTCTCTAATTATTTCATCCATTCTTTATCTCTTTTAAGTGATGGATTATCCAACAGTAATACAAAGCTAACTGTTGGAAGTTGTGATTGGGTTGCAATTAATCTTTTATCAGATTACAATGTTTTTGATCTAGAGTTTTCTCAAACATAATTTGAATTAAATCTTCTCAATTTAGTCATTGAATTGACATATCTGCTTTATAATTCAACTAAATATAATTACTATGGAACTGTTTGGACAATATGCTAAACTCGAATGAAACTATTCAAAGTGGGATCAACAGAAAACGGCCCCAAGTATGATATTTGAAGGCAGCTTTTAGGGTTGAGAAATGGTTAGGAGGAAAAAAGCATTGATTGAGTTCTAGTTAGGTGGGGCCCTTCTAAGGGTTAGGGCAATGAAAAAGATTAGGGATATAAGGGATGGTTTAGGGTTGGGTAAAACCATGCTTTTGGGTCCGTTTTCTGTCGCATTCATTCAAAGTCTTTTATGTCCTATTGACGGTGTTCAAGGTCAATATGCCTTCTTTAGTTCGAAAATGCACAAAGATGTTCTTAACTTGGCAGAAATAGTCATATTTGGATACTATCTAAGGCCTTTAGATTTTTTTAATGCTAATACTCAGGTGAAAAAAACAGCTTGGTTATCGTTCTTTGAAGACAAATTTCCCTTTCAATCAACAGATGGAGATTATTCAACAACTTTCAAATCAAAGACAGGTCTATCTCCCTGGACAATGATTGATATGATAAGAAAAATATAGAATATTAAAAATGGCTACTCTAAGCGCAAATAAAAATTGTTTCTGGAAATTTAATAATCTTTAATTTGTTCCATTTTTTGAATTTAGATAGATTTGCAAGTTTTTGGAGGGGATTGATGTTGAATGATTCAGATATGCCTATCAGCCGTTTAGCTTTACTAGTTTTGGTAGCACTGGAATATATAAGTATCAAATTTGGAACTATAACAACCGCTCCCTATTAGCCGTTTTGTTACATTTTATACAAGAATGAAGTTTTAGTCACCAGTCATTTCTTGAGGTTGAAGTCTTTGAATAAGAAATTCCCAATCCCGAACCTTCATTACTGACAATTATTAAAAGTGACAAACTGGGTAACAGTACAATATTTCCTACTATATTGGAGGTGGATGTATAACGCATTAAGGTTATTGATGATATCACAAGCAATAGAAGAGATTTTGCTGTTTCTTACAGTGGAACTTTAACAATGAGCAATTTTGAACCAAGATACTTGGACAATGTCGATGAAATACTTCATGTTCTTGCTCTACTCCCTCTTCCTCTTAACAAAGGTAAAATTCAAGAATTTAATACATCGTTGCTGCATTACATTCCTTCTCTAAATTCTTGAAGAAAATTAAGAGGCTTAACAAGTAAGTATTGAAAATTCTACTGAGGAATCTCCAAGGAAAACTTTGAAGACTAAACAGGAAGTTGAATAGTTGATGTATTATTGCAAAATTTCTGGTGCTACAGTGTCATTCTATAAAATCGGTGGTAATAATATAATAGAATTGTGCTAAGCATATATTCTTGATAAAAAAACAGTCTGAAATTACTACCAGTTTTGGTAATTATGCTAATGCAAGAATTGGATAATCTGTTAGCACTTTACAAATGTATCCGAATTCATTTTGTGGCGATGCTACTAGAGAAGTTTTTATAAAATTACCAGTTTAACATGGATTTATTGCTGTCGGATTTTCTCTAATTAAAACTGCAAATTTTTAATCGTCTACTCTAAGCATATTAGGTGTGACTGAAGATATTCAGATACTGTGCATAATTGCTAACAGAAATTTTATAATAACAAATCAAAAATTCTTTCAATTTTTATGTCAGAATGAAATAATTGCGAAATATTTAAAAATCTCTTCCTAAAATGTAAAGTTTCATGCCTGCAATTATTACGTAATGAGTACAGAAACAATAAAGTATGAAAATCGTAAGAAAATAGTAAAATTGTTTTTTAAATTTGTCGTGAGTAATATTGATTTGGGGAGAATTGGATGGTGCCGAAGAAATGTTCGTCGTCGCCATGTAAAATTATTAGGGCAACAGGTTGGTGAAAAGATTTTGAACACAAAAGTAATTTTCATTCTCAGTTGATGAAGGTAAAAAAATGAAAATGTCTTTGAACTCGACAGCACTTATCATATCTCTCTCTGCCCAGAAATGTCCAAAAAGAGTCAATCTGTAAAGTTGAAGGGCTCTTTTGAAGGACTTTAAGCAATTACAAAGAATTCAAAAACTTATAAAATATTACCAAATAGTTCAATTTACAAATGTTTGTAACAAAATTTTTAGGCTAATTCAGAATCATTATTAAAAATGTAAATATCGCTAATAGGTATTCCTATTCAAATACAGTTATTGCATATATATTCCAGTTACATTCAGTCTTTTTAGATTAATTTTGCCATTGTCTAGTTTTTGTAATAACAGATCTATAGGGTATTGTATAAGGACTCACGTGATGAATACAAATTTTTTCTAATGATTGGCCACGATTGTTAAATTAAATTGACAGAGAGAGAGAGAAAGATCTTGCAAAATGCTGTGTAATTTTCAATTCTCTTTGATTTTCTTATATCAATTGAAAAAAATTGATGGAATGTTTCTAGAATCTCAACTGAATATTGATATAACAACGTTAAAATTTGGTGAAAATTCACACAAATGTACAAAGCACATTTGTCGTGGTTTTCCCCATGTTTCCTATATGAATAAAACTCATTGGATTTCTATTGATAACAATGACAGAATGAATAGAAATGCTGTGTCATTCCTATGCAGACGATTAGGATTTGATCATTTCATTTCAGTTGGCTTTAGATACCGTATTGGAATAATTATAACATTTTTTTTTATTAATTTGACCTAAATTTTGAACAGAGGAAAATTACAATTCCAATAAATTACATAATGATAATTTATCAGTAAAAATTCAGTGTGTGGATAACTTGAAGTGTAAATTTTACAGAAAATATTCAATTCATTCTAATTATTTCATAATTTCATGCATAAAAAGTGACGTTGAATGTAAAAACATGCATATTTTTATTGATCTTTTAGCCTTAGTTTCAATTAATTATTCTGCTTTTTGGTCATTTATTTGTTTAGATGTCTATGTTTATAGAGAAATTAATAGGAGACACATGAACGCTATAATGTATGGAAGAGTGAATAGAATTTCCTACAGGTTCTGTTTACAGGATTCTTCTTACCAACGTTTGCGACTCTTGCAAAAATGTCTATAACTTAACCAATGAATACCAAATGGATGATAATGATCGAATTGACATAAATAATAAAATGGTCTTATTTAAAAATGGCACCCATACATTTTCCAAAGTAGAAGATGCTGAGTTGATGGGAGAGGATGTAGACTGCTCAGCTGACTGTACAAAAGTTCCCGTTAGTGATAATTTCTTGAAATTGGAAACTATAGAATATAATTTGTACGTGAGAAATATTTGCTATAAACTGTCCCTAATGCCAAATGTTGAACATGGCACACACTTTTATAATAGACAGCTGGTTGAACTCTTTCTAGATTCATATCATTCAAATGTTCAAGGGTACGATTGCTTTCAGCGACTCATTTCAAATAAGATAAATTGTATCGTTACTTTTAAGAAATTGAATAAAGTATGGCTTTTAAAATGTTGAAATACGGTGGAAGTTGATTTATTTGGCAGTTCCAAATATTTAAAAAGTTTGTCTCAATGTTCAAAAAACAACAAAAATAACAATAGAATACTTGAATTTGTAGAAGGTTTCTACAGACTGAGGAATGCCAGCCCTGAAAGAACGGCAGAGAAGAGAGGAATTTTAGAAACTTATAAATATGTTTCTCACTGGAATCCCGTTTCTAGTAGGAACTTTAGAAAGCTTGAAGTTAATGTCTTTTCTTTCTTATCCTATCTTTTGCGACAAAGATTTTTCTAATATTCTTCGTTTTTTACTTTTTACTTTTAGGTTGCTTGCCACCATTTTGGATATAAGAATGGAGAGATTGTGACATCATACGACAGACGACCCACAGTTGCTTTAGTTGCAACCGTTTTAGTTTGTCCTTACTTAGTAAATTCTTTGGATTTGTGTCGAAATATTGAAACTTCTCGACCGACCTTATTGAAAGAGGAGTTTTATGAAGTAGAAATTCATTGCACAATGGAAAATACCACAGGTAAATAGGCGTGTCTAAGTTTTGGATACTTTACATTAAAGCTTGTACTCCTTGTTGTAGAGTGCATAGAATAAAAAATGGCATCAGTTTGGGAACATTTGAAAATGTTTGTTATTATTATTTTCCAAACAAATTGTCTATTTTAAGCGGAAGTGAATGGAAAGAGTATTGCTCTAGATACAATTTAGAAATTATTAGTCCAATGGATAATTATCAATTGTACTATCTCATGGAAAACATTACAAATGTGGCTTATAAAAGAGGACAAACTTTAGAAAATAGTTTACCAATAAGTATCTTTAAATCCGCTATCTTGATTTCCCCTTAATCCATACTTTTTTCATCAATCAGTTTTAAGACTAAAAGAAATATTTAAAGATTTGAATATAGTGAATTTCAGGGACTATCCTATTAGATTATTGGATTTAGATTATCAGTTAAAAAGCTAAATAATGGGTTAATTTTGAAACCTAATTTGATATTGTTTTTAATAGTTTTAATAAGAAAATGGGAGAAAAACAACAATTAAATAATTGGTAGCGATTTATGCTTTACAATAAAATTTGCGTTAGAATCTCATGAACTTAAGAGATTCTTTCTCCAATCTAAAAATTGCGCAATTTTACTAGAAAAAAACAAATATTGTGCCAAAAAACACTGAAACGTATGCACCATTTTTATTAAATAATGAATTGAAATGGAATTCTCAAGTTGTTATTTTGTTTCTTGTATTCTTAGCTCCGCCAATAAACTTGAATAAAATATTATCGATGAATGAAACAATTAAGTGTAAAGAGAATGGATATCTCTGCTCAGCGGAGAATATTTGTATTCATAAAAGAAAAAATGGAAGAGCAGACTGTTTGAATGGCTCTGATGAAGAAGACTGCTATGGCACTCTTATATATTTTTGTAGCGAAAACGAAAGAATCAATGCAAATCTTGTTTGCGATTTTATTTATGATTGCTCTAATAAGATGGATGAAAATGGCTGCTGTAAGTAAAATTATCTAAGGTTGTTAGGATTAGATATAGGGATTTAGGAACACTAAAATTCATCAATATTTATCTCTTGCCCTACTGTTCAAGCGTATCGATAGTGCTCTACTCATGAAATGTTTGTGCTTCATTGTACTTTCTTTAACACTAGTTCTTGTCTTTATCAAATCTTTACTTCCCACTCCAGATCATGTGGCAATAAACAGTGTATAAACGTTGATCAAGCGAGTGACAATATCCGCCACTGCCTCAATTTCAGCGATAAACTGAACGAAGGTAATGACTTTCTTTCTGCTTGAATAATATTTGAAGTGTTAAATAATTAACAGATGGAGGTTTGTTTGAATATTTAAGAATATGATGAAAAAAATTGATAACATAACCATCAAAAATTCCAAAGAGCTTGATAAAAATAGATTAGGAAGGAGTTTTCTACAAACAACAAACAAGGTATTATATAACAACAAACCTTTGAAAAAGTAAACAAACTTTTGTTTAAAACAATTTAATAACCAGTTTTTTCAAACAGTAAAAGTTGTTCTGTGATTTACAATACTTTTGGACAATTAGAAGAGAAACCTTTAAAAGTGTCGCCTGGTAACAACTTTAATTGTAAATTAGAGATACCCTGCCAATTTGGAGAGTATAGATGCTTTCAGTAGTAACTGCAATTTTCAACATTTATCTCTATCTTGTCATCATAGTCGACAAACAGATTATTTTCAAATTGATCGTTAATGTTCTTTGGGCACTTTTTTTGGATTAGCTTCGCATTGTATTCGAAAATATCAACTACTTTGTTATTCAAATTGTTTATGATTTTAATCCTATCTAATTTCTTATTGGTTGGCTTTCTGCCACATTGGAGAAGTAGAAACTTATTTAACGGAAATAGGTTAAATAACTTTTAAATGGGCCTATTTCATGTTTACAAATAGTAAAATCTTTTTCAGCAGGAAAGAATCCTCAAAAATTTATAAAGATGAAATCTTCCCAGGTAAAGTGTTTTTTAATTTTAAATATCTCTCTTTGCCTGAAATTCTTCACTCAGACTGTTTCAGTTGTAAGGAGATTATTGAGTATTCAATCGGGAGGGAGAGATAGAATGAAGAGAGGAATGACGAAGAATGTTAAAGATGCTCTTCTTTACAGTAGAAGAGTGTGTAGCTTTGTAAACAATATTCATGATATAGATTTTTTTCTTTCGGGTTTAATTAATGTGTACTTTGTAAGTAAAATATGAATGAATGATTTCAATTTCTTTCTTTCTTCTCTCACAATAGAAAAATCCAAAAACTCTTCAACTAGGAAATATAATAAATGAGCACGACAAGAAGGAGAATATAATGGAATTAGGCGTTTTAATAAATGACAAAATTCCTAAATGAATTCAATATTTTTATTGAATAGAACTTGTTTCAAATGTAATATTTTTATTATTTATGCTCTTTCTTCCATTTGAATTAATTAAACATTGATTTTCTTCATTCAACATAAAAACCGTCTCTTTCTTTTCCATTTTATTTAAAATAAACTATGAATTTTTTCGTGTTTGCTTTTATTCAATTTTTTCATTGTTCGTCATCTTTGAAACCAAAAGTAGGAATTTTTGTTCCTTTTTCGCTTGCATTTTTTTAAAATTTCAATTAGTATTTTGAATATTTTGAATAGTCAATAAGACAGAAAAATATGCAATTTTTCTTTGATTTTGATAATAAAGAATGTAATGACAACTACTGCTTTGGACAAGTTGGATCTTATCTGAATGAAGAAAGAACTAACTGTCTACTACAACCGGAAACTAATTATGAGAGAGAGATTATCTGTCGCACTCTGAACTCAACACGCTTTGATCATTACAGAAATGATATTAAACAGTCCTTAAAAAAGGACAACAAAAGTTACTGTTCAATGACCTGTACAAGCGTTGATTGTACTTTTATCCCTTTAGTAGATTATACACTGGAAGTTAAAGATTTCCAGGCTAAATCTATTAAATGCTTCCTTTCCAAAAAGCCATGTAAGTAAAAAACATAGTGATGATTTCTGGGTGAAAGACAAATTCATTTACTGGCTGCTAATTATTCTACAGATTTTTTCATGGATTCTTCAGTCAATAATCAAATAGTATACAAACGTATATTGAATAAAAACCAAATTTATTGTTTACTGCCAAAATTAGACATAACGTTTTGCCCAAATGTTTACATATTTATCAATAAAGTAAAACCGCCTGACATGCGTGAAATTTCAAAGTTAAAATTATGTTCAAAGTCTATATGTTTGAATAAAAATGTTCAATTTAAAAATACTTTTAATGGTGGAATATATTTTGAAAATATCAAAAAATTGGAAAATTCAATTCAATTCAGTATGGAACATTTAATTAGTGGTAGATATATAAATGGAAAATTTCTACCTTTACTGTTTGAATTTCATTCTCTGGAAGAGCAGATAATAACTTATAAAATCCTTTGCAATACAAAACTTGCTGATAACTTTCAATCTTTTCCAAAGTCTATCCTATTTAAGGCCTACAAATATTGGGACGCTAGCTACGAGAAACAAGCGTGCGTTTATAGATGCTTTAAAGATGAACAAGCTCTCTCAGAGTGTCTATTAATGAAAAAGAGATATAGCTATTTTGACCATCAAATTCTTGGTATTCAATGCTTAAAACAGTCTATCAACAGACATTTTCTATTGGACGGTAATAAGCGATTACCTCAAGTAAAAGATTTTGTGACAAGATTAAAGAATAATGAGAAGATTGTAAAAGATAGTTCAGTTATAGACGATGGCAGTAAATATACTGGAATGATTGAAATATTCTACAATGACTATTGGTATCCAGCTTCGTATTTTGAATTTGATTACGAACAAGTGTAAATGGCTTGCAAATATTTTGGTTTTTCTGCCGGTGTAATTCATCTATTCAAGGAAAATAAACACAAAAATTTTGCCTTTTTTGTAATTAATTGCACGCTTGCCAAATCTTTTGAAAAGTGTAGAATTGAACATTTCATGGAAGAATGGTTGAGTAGATTTCATATTTCGAGTATTCAATTGATGTGCAGTAAAACGAAATCTAGTTATAATAGTACGTTTATTATCTAGCTTTATGAATGTACATTATGTAATGTTCAATTCCAAGGATTGTTCAAAGAGTGTTGGAAACTGTCTAGAAAAATTTATATATATGAATAGTTGTTACTATGTTTGCAAATTTAATAAGCCTATATCTTATACTAAAAGTATCAGTGTTTGTGAGAATAAATTGGTTGGTGTTTCTCATAGAGATGAGGCAAGACTTGTAGAATCTCTAATCATCAATACTATTGAAATGAGAGTGAATACTGAGATTTTGAAAAATCTTTCCTTTTGGTATAAAATAAACTTTATATTTTTATTAACCTCTTAAACAAAATACTCTTTCTTCTCGTTTTTTCCTTCTACAACAGGTTTTTTGAAGAAGAGGTAAGAGATTAGATAAGGCAATTAATCCCAATAACAATAAATGTCATTTGCATAGAGTTAACAATACAGTTTACAAAAATGAGATTCTACTTAATAGAGATAATGTCCCTATTGATATCATAGGATTTTGGCCAACAAGCCTACTATACAATAAAAAACTGTTTGTTTTCTTGCAAATGCTATAATCTGTTTAAATGAATGAAAAAAAAAAGTTTTTCAGACAATTTAAACAAATTGAAGACAGCGTGTCCATATTTCTCTAGAAATGGCGAATTCAATCATTTGGAACTCATTTATACTAACTGTTCAACTCCGCTATTCAAATATATCATTTGCGAAAAGAAAACTGGTAAATAAAAATTCTAATATTCGTATTTTTAATTCTATTCTAAAAACAAAGATATGAAAGTTGACTTGCCCCAAATTTTTCATCTAAATGCCAAGGAAGAAGTAACAAGCTGTTCAAAGCAATCTTTATTCCAATGCAAAAGTGACGGATTCTGTATTAATATAAAATATGAATGCGATGGACATTCCGACTGTAGCGATGATTCGGATGAGAAAGATTGTTCAAGATTAACTGAGAACCTATTCTTTTGTTCAAACGGTAATCAAAGTATAAGTGTTAACCTTGTTTGCGACTTTATCGACGACTGCAAAGATAAAAGTGATGAGGAAAACTGCGGTGGGTTCTATTTAACTAAATATTAGAAATAGGCATTAAAATCACTTTATGTATAGCTTCAGAGAAGTGTGCATCTCTTCCCGGAGAAAAGGTTGAAAGAGTGTAAGGGAACTATTAGAACTGTTTACATTCACCCTCTCCCTTTTCTCTCCATCTAGTTTATGCGTTAATAATCAGTGTATTCCAAATGTTGAGCAATGTGCTCAAATGCCTTATTGTATCGATAGGAGCGATGTAGAAATATGTTCTCGTAAGTCTTAATCGAAATTTAATAGCCCAATTTTTTACCTTTTCTTTCCAAAGATGACAACTACGACAGTTTGAATTTTGATTATAGAACAAAGAAATTTGAATTAAATATCAATGATATGAAATTAAGAGAAAAAGGAGTGGAGATTTCAATGTATGATTCCTTATTGTTGACACGGCAATCTACTAATATTGATCAAAACTGGAATTTCAAGTCAATCTTCTTTTCCAAAGTTAATTGTAAAGTTTCATTCATATAAAATTTATAAAAACAACATTAGGGCTGTTTCTTAAATTTCCCTCCCAACTAAAAATAGATTCTATAGAAGATAGCATCCTTCAGCAAAGTAAGTAAAAAGTGACCTTTTGATTATTATAAAGTTCAATTTGTGTGTGAATTTATAGAATTGATTAGTGAACATAGGAAATTATTGTTTAGATGTCAGCTAAGATATCACAGTTTTGGTTTCCTCGCATCAAGAAACTATTTTCCCTGGAGAGAGTTGGAAAATTGCGAAAGTTGGATTTGCAAACCTGGTCAATATAAATGCAAATTTTATCAATATTGTACAAATGCTAACCTAATTTGCGACGGTGTGAATCAATGTATATTTGGAGATGATGAAGAAGGGTGTGAAGACTGTAAGCTAAGGCATTTTTCCACTTAATCTTTGACAAATGAAACTTTTCCAATAGTTAAATTCATAGGAAGAGGGTTATACAAATGCAGAAGACAAAATACATTTCTACCTTTGTATGAGTTGTGCACAAGAAATTCTTTAACCAAATCGACAAAAGACAATTGCCATTATGCTGATGATCTGGATAGAAATATTTGCAGTTTTAAAGAAGAGAATTGCCCTAGAGAATGTCATTGCAGAGCATTTCTGGTTATCTACTGTACGAGCATGTTGAATAGAACAATTAAAAGTTTGAAATACAAGTGGAAGAGTGTAATTTTTGAAAATTTTCCCGCCGTTCAAACATTAAATATGATAATAGGAGCGTATAATGAAGAAATTACAAAATTAACAGTTTTCAATGGTCAACTAAAAGATATAGAGATGATTCAACGCCTTAATAATTTAATAATTTTAAATTTTACAAAAAATCAAATATATTCAGTTTCTTCTGGTGAATTTAGAAATATTAAGAAAATTCAACAGATTATCTTCTCCAAAAATCAACTTGGAGTTCTTTCTCCTTTTAAATTTCTCTTTCATAGTTCATTATTACATTTAGATTTCAGCTATTCAAAAATATTCAACTTTTCAATGAATACTTCAATTAATCTTAAATATCTATTATCTTTTGATTTATCAAATTCTCAATTAAAATACTATTCAAAAGACTTCCTAAATTCTCTGAGTAGTTTGCAATTGTTAAACATTGAAAATATTTCATTCAGTGGAAAAGAATTTGAAAGAGTTAATCTCTATAATTTGAAATCACTAAAAACATTGAAAACCTCTAAATTTAAATTTTGCTGTTTCATTCAATTTTTAAATTTGAATGACGAGTGTAAAAGGAATGGATTTTTAACAAATTCTTGCAATCAATTGCTCGATTTATCAATTCTGAAAAGTAACATTTTCACTTTTAAAAAGTTATTGAATCACTTCAATTTTCAACAATTCATTTATTTTTTCAGTGATGTTTTACCTTTGCTCAACAATTTCAACTTTACTAAATTTATTTTGTCTTATTTTT